TCTAGTAGTAATATAATAAATCACTATATTCGACCCCACTTATTCAATTTCTTTAAAAATTGTTCATCACGTCTGTCTCCATGACGACCCGTTTCGCAATAGTTTCATCCTTTTGAGGAGCCAAACTCAACTATTAATATTCCTAGGCCAAATAGCTCCCGTTCCCTTGGAAAATTGGCACCAATACCCTCTCTATTTTCAAAACTTACTTCTAAAGTCTCCGTGGTTTTAAAACGTTGCACCCACACCCTCTCTGATTATTTTCCGGCGAAGAGGGGGCATTTGCGCATAATTTTTAAACCATAGGGGGTATTCGTGCTCATTTTTTATTTTTCATTTATTATTTGTGTTTTCCTTTTTTAAATATTTTCTATCTCTTTTTCCTTTTCCTAGATTTTTTTCTAATTTATTATCAATTTTTTATAATGTTTTAAAATTTTTAAGATTTTTTGTTTTTGAAATAAAAATAAAAAAAGTAACATACTTCCTCCGTCCCAAAAAAATCGTTACGTTTCATTTCTTTGCGCATCCCTTAAAATATTTTTATATCGTCTCAAATGCCAAAAAACTTTCAAAACAATTTCATCTTATAATAAAGAGTAAATATGGTAAATTTTAGAAATTTTAGATGTGAGTAGCATTGCTTTTTGTGATGCGCAAAGAAATGAAACGTAACGATCTTTTTGGGACGGAGGGAGTACATTACATCTATTTGAAATTAAACATTTTCATTTTTTGTTACGTACTTATTTGGAAAGTTCAAAAAGAAAAACCTAGAATAAAAAAATAAGAATATGGAAAAATAAAATGAAAAATAAAAATACACAAAAAAAGTCTGATACAAAAAAAGGACAAGCCTAAAAAAGTCCTTAGAATTGAGATGTTTGAAAAAGATATTCATTTTTATTTTTGTATTATTTTGTTTCTTATTTTATTCCTCATTTTTTTTGAAATTCTCAAAAAAAAGTTTACTTTTTTCAGAAAAAACAAAAAGTGTTGTTTTGAGATGTACATATACTCCATACGTTATATGTTAATTTTTTTCAAACAAAAATAACTTTAAATTTTATGAACATTATAAAAATAATTTAAAAAAAACCTTTATTAATAAATGAAACAAATAAAGGAAAAAATGGAAAAAAAAAAAAAAAAATAAATGAGAAATAAATATCATACCCCTGTGGTTTAGTAAATATGCATCAATGCCCTCCTTCTTCGCCGGAAAAATGGTTGGAAAATAATCAGAGGGGGCACGGGTGCAACATTTTGAAACCACAAGGACTTTAGAAATAAGTTTTAAAAACATAGATGGTTTTGGTGCCTATTTTACAAACTACGGAGGTACTGGCGTTATTTGGCCAATATTACTACGATAATGTTAAATTGAAAATCTTGTATTATTGCGGAGCCAAACTCAACTATTGAGTCTCTCACGATGAACTTTTTCATCTTGAGTCTCTCACGGTGAACTTTTTTTTTAAAAAAAGGATGAACTTTTCATCTGAAAGGTGTAATTATTTAAAATAATACCATTATATTGTATTGAAGCCATTTTTTGGATTGGGCGTCCCTCTTTTGTACAAGAAAAATGTTAGGGGTACACGGTGGTGTACCCCATATGCCCCCCACCCCCGTCTTGTCCACTAAAAAAAGTAAAAAAATTTAAAAATAATAAGTAAATAAAAATCAAATAAAAATGTGTGATGAAGAAGAAAGTGGTGTACATTTGGGCTACACCTTTTGGTGTACCCCTAGCATTGCTCTTTGTACAATCAAAAAACAATGTGCGAAAGCGATTGGTAGGGACAAATAGGATAGAAGAAAAATATTCGACAGGTGGAATAAAAAAAGGATGTCTCATCCCGAGGTTTTTTAGAACCGGCCATATCCGATATTAGAGCATGGACAGTGGCGGGTCAAAGTCACTGCCACGCATGCCAGCTCATCTTTTTACTTGTTTTCCATGACAAATCATCCCAATTCTCCTTGCAAGTAGTGGCATGTGCGAGACAATGTTTTCCTTTGTTTTGTTTTTTTGGTAAAAGAAAGAATTTTTTTTCTTTTATTGAGATTAGAGGCAATGTTTTCCACTTTTAACCCTTGCTTTTTTTCTTTACAATTTATTTTCTTTTTCAAAACAACTAATATATATATATATTTAAACATTAATGTTTTATGTGAAATTATATAATTTAAATTAAAAAAATTTAAAATTTAATTTTCTCTTTGTACAATTAAATCTTTACAAGAAAATATAATAATTTATAATAAAAAAGCACGCATAGGCTAATTAAAATATGTCAAAAATGATAACATTGTCAAAAAAGATCACAATTTTTTTATTAAAATAAGGTAAGTAAAATAATTTGTGAAATCAAAATATATTAAAAAGGTATAAAAAATGATAAAAATGGTGACTTGCCATGGTAAGACATGTCACTCCACTCATGTAACACACGCTGACTGGACAGATTTTGATTGGCTAAAACACTCCACATCATTGTATGACATTCCATTTCTTACTTGTCATTGCCCATGCTCTTAGTTGATAAAAAGTGAAGTTTATACTTGATATGCAAATATAATGTGTTTAATATATTACTCCCTTCGTTCCAATTTAAATTGTCTGTTTTCCATTTTTGTCCGTCCCAAAATGAATTGCCTGATTCCTAATATAGTAAGTTTTTATAAGTACAATACCTAAAATACCCTTTAAATAATTCACTTCATCTACCAGCCTTATCTACCCACTGCTCATTAATCACCACTCATTCTCTATTCTCTCTGCTATTTCATCACCAAATAAGGATGCCGATTCTCAGTAGATGAACGAAGCAACGTGCAGAGAGACGACGACTTGGGGTTTTTCAGACTGCCGATTCTCAGAGAGACGACTACCTATACCAATTCTCTTCAGACGGTCTCCTTTGGATGACGGCGATTTGGGTTTTTCCTTTACCGTGGTGCTGTATCCTATGCGGCGGCGAACTAGGGTTTCCCCTTTGTAGCGGTAATTTCTCCTTTGCACCGGCGACTAGAGACGGCTAAGGTGCACAGCTGGTATGTTTTGATTTCAATTTTGATTCTCGCCCCCCTATGAGTTTCGATTTTGATTCTTGTCCCAACATCTATTTTCCCGTTTGAGTTTCGATTTTGATTCTTGTCCCAACATCTCTTTTTATTTCGGTTTCTAATATTCGTCCTCCTTCCAGATATGTTCTTTGAGTATTCTTGATTTTCTTTTTTCGATCTTGAATTCTTAATTCCATTTTTTTATAATTTTATCTACAAACATTCATCCAATTTTCGTATGTTAATTTCTGCTATTTTTAATTTTTTCAGATCTCTCGGATGAAATTTTGGATCTTGGGTTCATGATGGAGTTCAAGGATAACATGTTAATGAAATTTTGAATCGCCGGTGTTGCTGAAGCTATTCCTGTTTTTTTGCTCCCATATTTTTAGTCTTGATGTTTGAATGTAATTTGGTGTGATGAATATTTTTGGATGTGTTTGGTGTTTGATTTTGTGGATGTTTGATTGTTTATACTGAGTGTATGGTTACTGCATACTTCATCCCAAATAATTTGTCACATTTCTATTACCGAGGTAAAATATTAAGTTTTTTTTTAAATTCATTTTATTTACGTATTGGTAAAAAAGTAAAAACTAAAAATTACATATCAAAAAACTACATGAAAAAATCTTCGAAATAAGAGGTGTCAAGAATATTTTATTTTATCAAATAACTAATGAAAACGTAAAAATAAACAAAAATTCTCGCAAATGTGGCAAATAATTTGGGATAGAGGGAGTGTGAGATAAGAGGAGGAAGAGATGCAAATTCTACATTTTCAATTAATAGGGTGTGAGGGCATTTATGGAAAGTCGATGCTAATTTTTTCCTTCTTTAAATATGTCATAAAGTCAAAACGGGTAATATAAATCGGGACGGAAGAAGTATTTACCTTCCAACACAATTATAAAAAACTAAACTCGAGTGTGACCCTTAAGTATTTACCTTCCAACACAATTATAAAAAACTAAACTCGAGTGTGACCCTCTTGCAAGAATAAGTCTGAGGCAGTTGTAGGTACACTATTGTTGTTTTAAAATTTGTTTATATTTTTAAAAAAATTAATTCAAAGGTTTTCAAAAAAATTATAAAATACTCCGTAACTTTTTTCTAAAAAAAGCGTAGTATGCATTTTTTAAATAACATTTTCAAAGATTAAAAAAATAATTTAAGATTAGAAAATAATAAGAAATTCATAGTTAATTAAAGAAGTATCTAGATGATATATTTATTCGAGAAGAATTATCATGTGTGTTCCAAAAGGAGGAAGAGGAACATGAAAACGGAGTATAATGATTAAATTGATGAGTGAAAAATTAAAAGAAAAATCAATATAATATTAAAAATAAAAAAGAGTGGAAAATGAATGGAATAACTAAACACGGAGATAGTCCATGAAAAAAGGTGAAAAGAGAGGATATTTGCATTTTTCCGAATCTTTAGTCTTTATTTACTATGGTCAATGGTTAGATTTATGAAAATTAAAAAAAAGAGTTTTATTATTGATAATTATTCTTAGATGACATTAGAGTCTAATGTCAAAGAAATTGGTCCGATAAATCATACGAATCTTTTTCTTTTTTGAAATACTAATAATACAAACGAATGAAAAGAATTTAACAACCTAGCTTTTATGGTGATGAAAGAGATGTGTGTGTATAAGGGTAAAAAAGTCTTTTCAACTCTCTTTATCCCTAATTTATTCTCTTATTTCTTTTTTGGGTTGTCCCAAACTAATCTCCATCTTTCCTTTTTCAGAAAGCTTTTGGTGCATCATTTTTTTCTTTTCTCCGCATCACTTTTAACCATATAATTCTACTTTTTTTAAATTCCGTGCAAAGTGAAACTAGAAGAATTAATTTGGGACGGAGGAGTATATAATATGGAATTATGGTTAAGTGGAGAGTAAGCTCCTTTTCGATCATGTGACACATTAAAATTGATTGAGATACAAAAAGCTGTCAATATTCACGCCCTTCAGTCTTCACTTCATCCAATACAATAATTCATAAACAATCACTGAACAAATCACCCACTATGACTGAGTTTGGGTTGGCTTGGTTTTCTTGATTCTGGACTAGCTTAGCTCGCCCTTCGCATGCCATCCTTTTGGACAACTTGGCAAACATTTCATTTTGAACATTTTGGGAAGGTGTTGTATGAATGAATGAGATGGAGATGAAAAAAATAAAAGGGTTTGATGGAGCTTTAAGCTTTCTATTGGAGTGACTCAATAGGGCCAGCAAGCCAAGTTTGGTGGCTTAAAATGGGTTCGACCAAACGATATAGTTGCACTATTTACATCCACGGAGAGAATATGGCGTCCAGGAGGTGAGTGAGTGCTCACAGATCATGACTGTACACCGCCCTTTTGCAAACCAATCAAGCACGGATCATCTACCACATGTGTATTGGGGGTGGGAGGAGTTAAAACATAGCATGAGGTTTTTACTTCGTGAAAACAAGAAATGGATCACAGAATGATGAACTACTCTCTAATGCAGGAAGCCAGAAATTGACAAGAAAGAATGGATGAAATCACTATGGGTGCATTTGGAACTTGCAAAGTGATACTGAAAGAAAATTTGCTAAAGGACATAATTTTCTAGGGTATGGTTTGACTTGGAAAATGAATTTTTGAAAAAAAATTATGTAATAAAAAAATGATAAGTTTGGAATTTAAAAAACAAATTGATTGATTACAAACCACTTTTTAATTTCCCATAAAAATTCTTTAAGCTTTTTATCTATTTTTTTCCGCTAGAATTTTCCAAGTTCCAAACAGACAATTAAGAGCATGGGAGGAAGGGTAGGAGAGAGCTAAGTAAAATATTAAATTGCTACTGCAAGTTTGCAACAATTGAGTGAAGAATATTACCATCCTAGGAGAGGGTCTCCACTGAAGAGTCTTCATTGCAGCTTCTGCAAAGGCTTGGGCTGCTTCAGCTTCGGTTTCTGCTGCTTCTGCCGCCCTTGCAGCCTCTTCAGCTTCTGCTATAGCAGCTTCAGCTTCGGCAACAGCTCTGGCAGCAGCTTCTGCCGCCTCTTCACGAGTTGCGCTCCTCATCTTGGATAACTTTGAGTCGGTCTGTTGTTTAGGTGATGATTTCTGTCTCCCCTCCAATAGCAAAATGGGAGGGTTTCTTATCTCAGATGATATTAAAGTCATTGCTATTGTATACTTCCGTTTCATCTATATGGTAACGGAAAAAATCACCCGATGTATTTGAGGTGAGTTCACTTGGCAAAGATCCATCTAGGAGAATATACAGACAACAGAGTATATAAAACATAATACCACCTTAACAAGTTTCCCTGTTGCAGTCAAATACTTCAATTTTGCAGACAATAATCTTTTAAAATCTGGAGGAGCCCAGTATTGGTCCTACATGAATAAAAGTTTCATCAAGTAACAAACACATATCATGTTCAGGTGAAGATGGATAATTGGCGTTACGTACTAGGATAACACTTACCTCAATGTAAGCAGAGATAGAAGCCTTGTTGGAACCACCAGGCTCTTTTAAGTTGTTTATGGCATCCATGATAAGATTGTCCAATCTACAAAAAGGAGCAGATAGTCGAGTGACCAAGTGTAGCATGAAGATCAATTCTTAATTCAATGAATACAATCTGATGTCATACAAACCAACTGATGCAATTTCCTATTTTGAATTTTTGCAATGGGCAGAGAGAGAGAGAGAGAGAGAGAGACCCAGTGTTTAAAGCATAATAGCACAAAATGCTTGTTGAAAGTATTAGACATTAAGAGACTTATAATCTCTTAAGTTTCAAGCTCTTTCTTTTCTTTTTTCAAAAAAATATGATACAAAAAAAATCATTTAAATTAGTAGAACCACTTGTATAAAATAAGGCAGAAAGCCAGAAACGTAATAATAAGATTCTGGATTCTGGAATTTCATACAGTTTTGTTATCATGTTAGACATTACAAGAACACCAAAATTGATATAATTCCAACTTTGTTAGGGTCTTGGGGCCAAGTACACAACCTTACCACTGTAAATAACAGAGGTATTGTTTCCATTAAACCCTTTGATGCATTGCCGCATTTACTGCCCAAAATTTCATCAAAATTAAGAAGCAAACGAAGTTTAATGTGTCATTCTGATTTTGTACATTATTTACTCGAAGTTCAAAATGACTCCTTTAGCTCCATTGGCAATGGACAGAGATATGTATTATAGACAAAAAGCAAATCATAGTTGAAATTAGATATGCATAAAAAAAAGTTTTGTTGACAGTAATGAGAATTCCAACTCAAGAATGAAGGACCCCATCTGAAAAAAGAGCATTTCAAGCATCATGTTTACTCATAAATAACAAGTGTCAAATTCAGCATGAAAATGGATAATGTGGCAAAACAAGCAGGAATTTCTACCAATTGGTAAGTTATGATAAAGTGCATAAAAGAAAAGATGGTTGACCTTATGATAGATTTTCTTGAACCACCAGCCAATGGAGAACCACAGGAAGTTGCAATGGGCTTGGCTTCACTTGTATCTTCATCACTTCGAGCTTCAACATTGGCTAGTGTTTTTGGGATATCATCCTGTTTAGGGGCTTGATGCATCTTTTTTAGAGCTAACCTTGCCTTCTCTCTAGATCCAAACCCATTTGCCATGACACTCATGTTTCTCCACTTGTCCTACCACATTAAGCAGGAATGATTCACAGAGATTCAAAGAAGATAGCCCGTAGTAATTTTCTACAAAAAGTGTTGGGATCTGTTTGGAACTCGAGAAATGCTATGGAAAGAAACCAGGGAGGAAACCAAAGAACACTAGAAGGAAATAAAATTTGGGAGAGAATGAAGAAATACAGCACATGCTTAGTAATAGTATTTGAGATCTTTGTTACTCCGTGTGACTCATTTAATTTTCAGAGTATTTATTTATTTTGATTAAATCGGCTATAAATCTAAATAGATGTACATATCGAAACAACTTATTACATAGTACGTTTCAATTTTCTTCGCATTCTACACGAAAAAAAACATAAATAATTTTCTTTTTCCAAGCATTTTCAGGTATCACGTATTCAAGCATACCCTTAGTGATGATTCCCCATCTATCGTCACATACTCATATATGCCAATCCAGGAGAAGTTTAATATGTTGAAAAAGCAATGATACTATTTTTGTCCCACTATTTTTTGTAATTAGTTTGTTCTTTGCCTTTGTGTGCTTTTTGCTATCTCAACTATATATGGGGGTCTCTTGGCAAGGGCTGACCCTCTACTCTCGTGGGATCCAACTAGGTTGTGGTTGTTGTATTTTTGGGAAAGTTGGAATTGTGTGGTTGGTATTGAATTGGTAAAGTATGAATTCATTTGACCTACATAATTGATACCAAATGTGGTATGAAACAAATATCAAATTGCAATATGTTAGAATATAAATAATTGTTCCTGGGCCACAACCACAAACTTGAGCTTTTGGTTGAGTTGGTTCCTTGACATGGTATCGGAGCCTTGTTGACTAAGAGGTCACGGGTTCGAAACTCAGCGCCACCCAGTTTTAAGAAAATTAAAAGTTTCACGTGCAAGGCTCGAAAAAGACTATGCCTGCGCGTGGGGGGGCGTGTTAGAATATAAATAACTCTTCTTGGGACACAACCACAAGCCCGAGCTTTTGGTTGAGTTGGTTCCTTGACATGGTATCGGAGCCTCGTTGGCTAAGAGGTCACGGGTTCGAAACTCAGTGCCACCCAGTTTAAAAAAATTAAGGTTTCACGTACAAAGCTCGAAAAAAGACTACGCCTGCACGTGAGGGGGCGTGTTAGAATATAAATAACTGTTCCTGGGCCACAACCACAAGCTTGAGCTTTTGGTTGAGTTGGTTCCTTGACACAATACACCAAAATTGGGTGGGGGGTGTGGCAAAAAAGTAATGAGACAAAGACTGCAAGGTCTTACCTTTAGATCAACATTTGAACGCAGATACAGAACTCCACTGAAATCTGGATCCTTGAGAATCGTGCGCCATTTCCCCTGCCCATGCCTAAGCACACCAGCTTTGAGAGCAGCTTCTTCTTCCGGAGTCCACTTTTGTTTAGGTGCACCCATCAGAGGACTACACGGAGCAAGTTCTTAAAGACCTAGTCAGTCACGAGAAGTTATGAGGTTTTATAGTTCCTCTTTTTCCCTTTCCTTTCCTCATATCTATCAAACAAACAAAGGTTTCCTTTCCCCCTATCTATCAAACAAACACACACATAAAACTCCTCCACCGTCTTATCCTCCCCACCAAAAACCTTAGGCCAAACAAAGGTTTCATCGCAAATCATTGGGATCAGCTGTTTCAGCTCCAAAGGTGATGATTACAATTTACAACACCTTTGGATCATATCAAACCCGTGTTTATCTGTAACAATAATAGAATCTAAGTCATAGCAGTGTTCACATGATTGCTTCTATGAAGCGAGGCAAACCTAAGCGGATATAGATTAGCACCCAAACCAATCCAAGCTACAACATAAATGACAAAGAAAATGAATTGTGTGTCAGTGAAGATGATCCAAACTGACGATTCAATCTCTGTTGCGCGTTTCACATCATCGGTCGGGAATCCCATAGTAAACATCATAAAATTACATACAGAGCACGACTCCATGAGCAAATGAATCATGAAAAGTAAAAAAAAATATTAAAATATCCAACCATTGATTCCGATCGAGGAGAGAAGGGCACCATTAGAAGAAGGAAATAGAAATTGAGAATTACCAGAAACACTGAAGCAGCAGCGATTTGATGGGTGAATTTGTTCGGAGAGTTGAGAGAATTTCGATAAGCAAAATCGTTTCAGTATTTTTGTCTGCAAAATCGTTTCAGAATTTTTGCTTGTGTCCCGGAGTGGTTGGAATTAGGAAAATTATTAGACCTAACAATTAATAATACTTCCTACTTAATACAAAAACAACCCCTTCTAGTGGGAGTGTTCCAATGCCCTATTTATAAAATCGACGGTTCTTATTCTCTTAACGCTCCCGGTAAATTCCTCACCCCGCCTCGATCCGAACACATCCCCACCCCCTTTGATTGCACTTTTCAATTAATTTTAATTTTATAGTCAAATTTTATTCTCTATGTCATGGAAATCAGCCCCCAAAAATAAACATTTTTATGTCTGTTCGGATAGCGATATCATATTAGAGTATTTTAGCATCTCGCTTTGAGCTATACATACTCACTCCATTTGTCCCACAACAAAAAAATGAATGGTCTTATTATTATGTTTTGTAATGTTTTAATTGTTACACGCCCATTTTTGCACTATGGTACAAAAAATGACGGAGTATGATATGTTGTGGTAGTTAGAAGTCTTTTGCAACTACTTTTGTTTATGGTCTATATATTATTGCTTTTAGACGATTATTATGAGACATGATGAATGATATTGATTTTGTGGCTAAATTTTAAATCATCATGGGTAAGTTTGATTTTGTATATGTATTTGCTAGGAGGATAAGTTGTGTAGTTGTAGAGTTTTTATTAACAATGTTGCTATATCCATTTTTATTATTGTTACATTCACGTAATTTTTCGTTATATAGATGATTTTATCCTTAAAACATATAAAAAAGATTTAAATATTAGTCAACTAAAGGATTAATTTGTTTATTTATATAAACAGGGTAAATTTAGCCATAAAAGGAATGAATTTATCAATATCCTATAATTAATTAGGGTTGAATATATATGTAACTTAAATATATGTCTATATTTTTAAATATGTTGGTGGAATTCAAAGCATCTATATTGCTAGGATAAATGAGTAAGTTGGCGTAGACAAAAAAGTCATACCAAACTTCTTCACATCCACTGTCAGAGTACAATATTTACATTTATGAGGTTGAGATTAAAAGATTAAACAGAGACATCATAGCTACTCAAAAAAATATATAGTGTTAGAGTGTTAGAGCATCTCCAATGTGTAATGTATATGACAAACTATACACTATATGCAATTTAATGTTACTTTTTGGCACTCCAATAGATAGGGTAAATCAAGTAGTAAAATGCAATGTAGTGTAAAAAACATTTCCAAAGTATACTTTACAAGTTTACTATAGATAGTGGAAAGAATAAAAGTTTTTTTATTACTTTTTTTGCTTCTTTCCTTCACTCTACTTTGTTTTCTTATATATAAAGCTCGAGTTGTTGTCTTTTTTAAAAAAAAAATCAAAAATAATTAACTTAAAATAATAAAATATTATAAAAATGTATAATATAGAAGACATCGTTGGAGTAAGTAAAAAAATAAAAATGCAATACATTGTTTATATTGTAATATGAAATTTACACTATCAATTTTTACACTACACAATGGAGATCTCTTAGAATGAGGGCTTGTGCAAGTATGTGTGTATCACGTGCAATTTGTTAGTAATGTGGGATCAAAATCGAATTTATTTTTCTGACTGACCGTCCGCATATGACTATGAGGGTGCCAAATTGAAACTACTATGGACAGTACGGACATTGTGTATCTCGAGTTTTCAACGAATTTCAGAGAAGAGCATTCCAGAGGAAGAGAAGCTAATCCAGTTTAAGCAATCAATCATTGGGCGGAGGGAGGGGTATTAGGTTCCAGCAGAATCTACCCGTCTCTCCTGCCCCATCGTCGCCGGAATTTCTCTTTCTTTTTTACCATCTCCCAGGTAATGAATTTTATTTAGCCCTCCTTTGATCACGGAGTTGTATATGCACAATAACTATGGATTTGTTAATTTATCGGACGAGTATTGCGACGAGATAGATCAACCAGCCATCACTGATTCGAAAGTTGTTCTGGTTTTGCCGTCTTAAGTGTTGAATTATTGAATGTGTTTTTTTAATCTTCCTGGAACTGTATCTCAGCTATGGAAAGGAATTTAAGCGACCATACATCCGCACATGCTCGAATCCAGCAGCTTGAGCGCGGTATGTAATATTCCTTCATTTCTTCCATTTCTGTTCATTTTCAGATTAATATGCGGTTTAGCTTTTGTTTTGAACTAGAAATCCAAGGTTTTTAAAACTAGACTCGAGGACTCACTGGATCATATTCTCAAGTAGATATAAGAATTTGCAGCATTTGGCCGTATTCTCAGAAGTTATGCTTTTAAAATCTAATTTTGGTGTTTGGTAGTTGAGTCGCAATGCTATTACACATGTATTTTGTGATCCTTATTAGTTATTACGCGGTATTGCCGTATTATTTGTTGATTAAAGTGGTCAAGGATTGCCACTAAAATGTTGGTGGTTTAATTTCAAGAGCGTGATGACTTGCATAAAGACATTGAGCAGCTATGTCTGCAACAAGGCGGACCGGGCTATCTAGGCGTGGCTACTCGTATGCATCTTCACAGGTACAAAATTAACATTGGCATCCCATCAATCACCTTTGTATACTCTACTATACATATGTTTGTCTTGCGTATCCTTCTCCAGCAGTTCGTCTTCTTGTTTTGATTTACTAATCTACTAAAAGGATCCTTGAATGTGCTTTTTTGTTAACAATTAGGACAGCTGCATTAGAACAAGAGATTGAAAACTTAAAAAAGAAGTTAACTGAGTGCTCTAGAGAAAACGAGAATCTTCAAGAGGAGCTTTCACAAGCCTACCGCATCAAGGTTGCACTTTATGCCAATATGCCATGTCTCTAATTAATCCTATACAGTTTGTAGTTTATTTATACTGAGTATTTTTGTGCTTATACATATACAATTATTTTTACCTTTACCACAGAGCCAACTAGCTGATTTACACAATGCAGAAGTCTCCAAGGTTCTCTACTGCACTATCTCTCCACCCTCAACCTTTTCCTTCAGTATACCGAACTTGGTGCATTCTGTACTATTGGTGCTCATCTCATGCCAATTCATCTTTCCAAGGACAACATAAATTGGAGTGAAAAAACACGTTATATTCTTATTCTTAATGAATACTACAATCGAATTGTGAGCCCAACTTTGTTACTTCGTTAACTTTGCAGAACATTGAAGCAGAAAAACAGCTTAAGTTCTTTCAAGGCTGTGTTGCTTCTGCATTTGCTGAGCGGGACACTGCTGTCTTGGAGGTCATTAATTCCGCGCCTTCTCAACCTCTCTCAGACTCCTTAGCTTTACAAAAGATAAAAATAAGAATAAAAATGGAAGGCATAAAAAAATTGATATTGGCCTTATATTTTGGCTGAAATGAATTTTTTTTTAGTTCTGTACCATGTGCTTGACTTGAAGATGAAGGAACGTATGCCGTTTCTTTTGCTCTCTACCTCTTATAATCATCGGTAGAAAACTGAATGATATAAACTTAAGTGTGGAAGTGAATGATGCATTGCTCTTGTAGATAATTGTTGACATGTTTCTGCTGGTCCGACATCATTATGTAGGCTGAGAAAGCAAAGGAAAAGGAGGAGTTTAATTCAAGGGAATTTTATAAACTTCAGGAAAGGTACTTGGCTTAAATCTGAAAGAGGAATGTTCTGCGATTAACAGTTGTAAAACATCTTTCACTTTGCGTTTACTAAACATTTGACCTTTATCTTCATATTTTTAGTCCTTTACTGCAACCTATTTAAACTGCATATAACTTTTCGACGCAAATGGATTTAGTTTATCTTCTTGTTCATTATTGAGACAGTTTTGAAAAGCTTAGCTCCGAATTGCTTGAAGAAAAAAAACTCACTGCCAGTATACAGAGTGACCTATCCAAGAGATCAAGGCAGCTGGAGGTTTTTAGAGAGGTACCTTCTTCAAAATTTGCCTTTTTAATTGGGTATTCAGAATATTTATAAATGTGTCATAATTGGCATCTATATTGTATGATTTTAACAAGATACACTTCAAGTTGATAGATTAACCTTTCTATTCTAATTATTCTTTTGCATTGGTTGCAACCTATATATTACTCGTATTATTTATTGTTGGCGTGAGATTTTTTGAACTGTAAGTTCCTGCAATATTTTTTCTATGGGCGGAGATACTATTTGAACAAATTATCGTTTTTTCTTTCTATCTTTTTCTGCACAAGATAGTAGAAAGAATGTCTAATAAGCATTTTTTCTCACGCAAGTGATGGAAATATCTTTCTTGAAAAGGTGGAATGATTTTGAGAGTTTGTTTTGCTTTCTTCAAAGTCCTAGTGGAATGATCTCATACTTCGTGTTTTCTACTGCAGATTGTGAATAAATTTTATGGAATTAGGCAACATGCATTGGAGGATAATGAGGATGCTTGCTGGGAAGACAAATGTGAGTGTCTTCTGCATGACTCATCTGAAATGTGGAGATTCAAATCTGATGAGGAAACATCCATCTCTTACACAGTAAGTTCTAGTAAATGATCTTTATTTGACAGCTATTTTATTTTGATTCTCATAGCTAATTGTTTCCCTTCTGAATTAGCGAGTTAGTATGCATTTGTGGAATTGACAATGTTCACACCAATTTACCATTGACTTTTGTAAGTTTCACCTCTTCATGAGCTAGGGAAATAATTTAGTTGCATGAAATGATTTACATTACAAATCAAAATTTTCCTAGGATTAAGAAAATAATGGTGTTGACATTCACACAGACATGCATACATGTTTTCTCGTACTATTGTAAATTTACTAACTTTTCCTCAGACAGAGTTCTCTGGAACTAGAAGTGGAGACATTAAGAAGCTCTTTGGGTAATCTTCAAAACAAGCTGAAAGTGGTTCGTAACTTTCATTTCATTCTATTTTTGCTGCAACCATGCATTCTGTTTACTTATATTCATTTTCCTTTTTTGGTTTATCAGGGTTTGGAAATAGAGAATCATCTAAAGAACAAAGTACGTGATTTGGAAAAGCAGAAAGTAAGGACTAGCGACTAGGGTGCTTCCTATTTTGAAGATGGACAAACGGTATCTTTCTTTGTTTTGCATTTAATAAAGTCTCTTTTGCAGGTTCATGTAGAAAATAAGATCATGGCTGGAATGTCTATGCTACGTGATTTTCATTCTCAATTTAGAATCAGCATAACAAGCATGCTTGATGAAGGATTTTTGCAGATCAGATCCGAACTTCACGCTGTAGAAGAAAAATTCAGGCAGCTTGATTTGAATGTAGAAAGCGATATCACTTCTCAGCAGGTGGATGATCTGAATGAAACTGAATGCAGAGACGTTCACATAAATACTGAGTCTAATGCAGAATCGAACACAAAGGTAAACTACCTTCCTGCCTACAAATGATTAAATAATAAATAAAAACAAAAATGTAAGTAGAGAATTGCTCGAGTTTCTTTGCATGGATTGAACTTTTTCTTAACCTGCCAGAGAGATGATCCAAACCCTTCAAAAAGCGCTGCCATTGAAACTAGTGAAACCTCCGACGCACTTGCTCTGGCATTACAAGAGAAGGTGCTTTACGTACCCTCTTGATTCACCATTATCTGTCTTTATACTGAGAATATGATCCATTATTATCGGTTTTATTGTGTCCATCCTCGCTCAAATTCCAGGTTGCAACTTTATTGCTTCTATCACAAGAAGAAGAACGACACCTTTTGGAGAGGAATATGAATGCAGCACTTCAGAAAAGAATAGTTGAACTCCAGAGAAACTTACTGCAGGTGATTTTGATCAGCACTTATTTTGTTCGATTTTAAATTTCAAGCAAGATTGATATAAATCTTGTTTCATTCAGGTTACTACTGAGAAGGTGAAGGCTCTCATGGAACTGGCACAACTGAAGCAGGAGTACCAATTGCTGCTACAGTATGTTGATTTTACCAAGAAATATCTTGTGGCTAAGTGGCTTTAGTAAAATGTTCACTACATGATAAAGAAATGTTGTAGGAAAGGCGATCAAGATATAATACAAGGAAGACATCATTCTGAGATTGAAGGCAAAAAAGCTGTTCAAGACGGAGAAGGAAGATTGAAAAATATGCTGAAGAGAACTTATTTAAGACGCTGGGGTGGAACACTTCATTCAGAAGTAAACGATGCTGAATCTCATGGCTTAGATATTGCAAGGTCTGAGCAATATTTTTGTTTGCAGGTCTGCAGTCTTATGTATCTTTAATCTCCCTTTATTTCCCCCTTTTCGTCTCATTCTGTAGGATGAAAATTGAGAATGCTAATTTGAGAGAGAGTTTGGAAAGTATGGAGCATCTTACATCTTCAATCCGCAGGCTACGTTATTCACTATTGAAGGTAACATACTGCATGACTACTTGTTAAACTTAAGGACCTCAAACCTCACCTCAATTTCAAAATTAGCATGATGTTGCTCGCTTTGGGTTGAGCCTTCATCTATTTGTATTTGGACACCTCCCAAAAGGGACTTAGTTGGACACTTATATTGGATGTCTTTGGGTTGCATTTTCAAAAAAAAGAGGCGATTCTGATTAAGGAATCGGTAAACTCTAAAATTCACTAGAATAAACTAAAGTTATCTAATCATAGTAGGAGTGATTTTTCGAATCAAGTTTGTAGAATCACAGGGGAGGCTGATTTCTGAAATCTCATTTCAGAAACGGGAAATCACACATCTCATTTTGGCCTAAATAGAAACCAAGTAGACAGTTTGGGTGAATGTGATTCTAAAATCAGATCGTAAGCCAAATACCACCCATTGAGAGTCAGCCAGACTTGGGGTGACATATTTTTCACAAGTCAACTACTATTTGATTTTTTGTTTCTCTTCAGGTTTATGAGCGGATCCATGCAAAGACTAATAATAAGTCGCCTGAATCTCTGGAGAACATTATCTATGAAGCACAGACTAATAATAAGTCGCCTGAATCTCTGGAGAACATTATCTATGAAGCACAACTGTTGAAAATTGCACTGGGAGGCTCCCTTCCGGTCAGCTGGTCTGCGGCTTCCGATGCCAGAGACAGTAGCGCAGGCACTACTAATGAGATTTCAAATGACGATTTTACCCTCCTCGACAGTAAAGGAAATGCAGACTTTGTTTCGGCAGCTGGGTCTGAGATGGTGGAGCTCTTGGTCTTCGTTGCTCACCTCTTGAAAGAAAAATGGTTCACCAAAGCTGAAACAAATTGAATGAATGGTTATCCCCTCCTGCTTGTACACATTCCATTTCTCTCAAATATTTTTATTTGATAATGATTATCATACAACTATTTAGAAGTGTACTTCATTTCTATTTGGCTTAAAGAATTAAGCCAAAGAGAAACGAATTAGGCTTCAACAGCTACAATTAATTTCGAATGCCAAACTAATGTGGCATTAATATTTTACCAGAATTAAAACAGCGTGACATAATTATTACTCCGTACTATGCTTGTTTCTTTCACTTATGATGTTTTATGACTAAAATCTGTAGTGTGATTGAAAATTAATAAGATGTACTTCCTCCGTCGCTAAGTATTTGTCCATTTTTGATTTTTTTTGGTCAAAATTGATAAATTTTGACCGCAAATTAAATAAAAATGATATTAGATTTTGGTAAAAAAAGAGTTTTATTAAATTTATTATATCAAATATTTTTGAAATATTATTTTATCTAATTAATATACAATATATATTTTATTTAATTATAGGTCAAAAGTTGAAAATAGTTGACCAAAAATTAAAATTAGGACAAATACTCATCATTCTCCTAAATTTTAAAACAATCCAATCTATTTTTATTTATTCTAGCTAGGTTGAAAGATATTCGATATACTCCGTATCTCCTAGGATTGGAAGAGACATGTGTTGTAAATTGTACCGAGTAATAAGTGGTTTATATAAAATAAAATAAAAAATTGTGACATTAACGCTCCCATATACTCTCTTCTTTTCATAAGAATTTTATGGTTTAATTTTAAAATGCTTAAAAAAGAGTTGAAGTTAAAAATGTAATTTTTTTCGTTCCAAAAATCTTGTGTTAATAACTATCATGTCATCTTGAAAATATTTACTACGCATTTATTTGTGTGTTTTCATAAGATTTTGTACGTTCTTTCCTCTAAAACAAAAATTTTAAGACATAGGGTGCATAAAGAATTGGTGATATTTGTTACGACTAATTAGTTATTCGCAATTTTTGTTTAAAAAAAATGTGAGCTACATATTTATCTTTCCTTAAAATTAAATAAGAAAAGTATACACTTTATTTTAGGATGAACGGTGTGTGGACCTAAGAACGTTATCTAATGCTTTGTACTTTCTCCATCCTAAAAAAACTAATCACCTTTATTTTGTATATTTCGAAAAAATGTCACACTGTATTTATTTTTATAATAATGAATTTATTTTTTAAAATTTTTTTCTTCAACTAAACAAAATTTGATGTATTACATTTTCATTTTTCAATAGTCTTTAATTTCATTAAAATGATACTCATAAATAGATAAAGTTTTTTAGAGAATCGAGTAAGAAGAACGCATGGATGAGCAAAAGAAATTGATGGTAGATGACTAGAATAGTGTTTGATTAATTTAATAACCAACTAATCATCTACCAATTTGGGAATTTGGTCTAGAGGCATGATTCTTGCTTCGGGTGCGTGAGGTCCCGAGTTTGATTTTCGGAATGCCCCTAATGAGTTTCTAACAATTTGTTTTAGCTATCTCCATGACACAATAAATATAGAAAAGCTAAAACATTCTCCCCTCAATGAGGGCATTTGGTCTAGTGGTATGATTCTCGCTTTGGGTGCGAGAGGTCCCGAGTTCGATTCTCGGAATGCCCCATTTTTGTTAAAATTTTTTGATTTTTTATTGGTTTTTGATTATAATGGATAGATGCTTTCAGAGATATATCCGGGCATTTGGTCTAGTGGTATGATTCTCGCTTCGGGTGCGAGAGGTCCCGAGTTCGATTCTCGGAATGCCCCTCCAACTTTTTAAGGATTTGTTTTATTTATCTTTTTAATTATCTAATTCTGCTTTTCCTACTAATACTCCTTCCAGCAGATAAGGGCATTTGGTCTAGTGGTATGATTCTCGCTTTGGGTGCGAGAGGTCCCGAGTTCGATTCTCGGAATGCCCCTTTCATCAACCTTTTATTTTTTTAAATTCATGTTTTTGGGCCCTGTATTTTCACTTTCCTTTCTTTTTTAGTTCTTCCCCCTTTCTCTCCGGGTCTCTCTGCATTTCCCTCTCAACTTTGATTCTCCCCGGAGTTCCGACCAAAAGGCAACATCCTCAAAAATGGCAAAGAATGAAACCTCCGCTGCCGCCGGCGAAGATCCGTCGCCCTCTTCCTCCCGTCCATGGCAATCTTACCACACCGTTTATACCAACGCAAAAGCTGGTACTCCCACTATTGCTCCGTAATTTTAAAATCGCCCTAGTATCTCTTCTAGCTCTTTTTTGGAAGGTTGTTCGATTGAATGCGCCAGTGTATTCCGGGCGAGATTTTCAGTATTTTAGGAATGTATATTGAGATTTGAGATGAAATTGTAGGGATGGAAGGGGTGGACAAGGAAAAGGTGCAGAGAATTTTGTATGAAATGAGCAAAGGGTCAAAGTATTTCGAGAACGAGGAGCGGAAGGAGGCTGAAATGAAGCAGAAAATCGAAAACATGCGTTCCCGGTGTTTAAAACTCACTAAGGCTGATATATCTCACTACACAGAGGCATGTTTATTCTTAAAGGTTTTTACTTTTGAACTCTTTAATCTAGCGGGGTGTTACGATCTATGGTGCTTACAGCTGGCTGAAAAGAGGATGTTAGAGCTCGAAGCCACGCGTGATTTGTCAAGAATTTGGGTACATGTAGATATGGATGCTTTCTATGCAGCTGTTGAAACATTGAGTGATCCTTCATTAAAAGGCAAGCCAATGGCTGTTGGGAGCATGTCTATGATCTCTACTGCTAATTATGAGGTTTGAACTGCATGTGACTCTATTAAAACCCCAGATATTGGATATCTAATGTTTAATTATTTACTCATTATTTACCACCTTTGGCAATATGCTTTTGCAAGTTAGAAGTATTCCCTCCTTCGCATATCTAATGGCACAGTTACTACTTTCAGCCCCTCAAAAATTTGTGTATTTGTTTGTTTTTATTGTTCATTTGATAAATAAAATAGTCATTTCACCTCTTTTTTGTAAAACGTTTAACATAGTTTTTAAATATGTAAGTTCCATTTTTATTGCAATACTATTTTTTAAATAAAATGATTTTAAAGTGTGGGGTTTTGCTTCATAATCCAAACTGTGCCTTTAGTAAGGGGAAGGAGGGAGTATATTTTATTGCTTTTTTTGAGAGCTTGGTTTGATGGTTATCATTTGTTAGGCTCGAAAGTTTGGGGTTCGGGCTGCAATGCCTGGCTTTATTGCTCGTAAATTATGTCCTGAGTTGATATTTGTACCTACAGACTTCAAGAAGTACAATCATTACAGTGGATTGACAAGAAAAAGTCAGTTACTATTGCTTATAAGGTTCCCTTTTTTAATGTGTAACTTTCATTTGCTTATATTTGGCATGAAATTCATCTCGTAGTCTTCCAGACATATGATCCTAACTTTCTGGCAACGAGTTTGGATGAGGCATACCTGGATATAACAAAGATTTGCAATCAAAGGGGAATTGCAGGTGCAGAGGTAAGTTTAAAACACATTATGTTGTGTTTGTGTTTGATTTCCATTTTATGCCTGTTAAGATAGCAAACCTTATATTAACTCCACGTTAATATGTTTTTTTATAGTATTTATTACGAAGTATATATGTGAGAGAGTGAGTATCATTGCATATTTATTGCTGGCATGCGATACTTTTGTTATTAGGTGGCTGAAGAGCTCCGGGGAAGTGTATTCAAAGAGACTGGACTCACATGTAGTGCAGGAGTGGCACCAAATCGCTTACTTGCTAAGGTATTAGAAGTGTTTTCTCGGAGGGTGGGAAGAGGTCGGGGGCCCGGGGGAGGGTATGTGTATGCCGACCTGCAGGGTGTTTTTGTTGCAGGCCATAAAATAAAAGTTCATCAATATCTATTAAAGGTGAATAATTTATACCCGAGTATCAGTTTATTGATTTATGTTTGTGCCTTTTGGTTGCCAGGTCTGTTCAGATATCAACAAGCCTAATGGACAGTTTGTTTTGCCTAGTGATCGTGCTGCTATTATGACATTTATCTCTACTCTTCCTATTAGGAAGGTACTCGTGTCTAGTTTATACTTATAGCCAGTCTTTCTGGCTCATTGGTTTTTTAGGGGAACCTATATTTTCTGGTCAATCCCTTATTGTTCTAGTTTTGAAAAATGAAAACCCCTTTTGCAGATTGGCGGCATTGGTAAGGTTACTGAAAACATTTTACAGGAAATCTTTGGGATAAGAACATGTGAGGATATGTTGCAGAAAAGCAACCTTCTGTTTGCACTATTTTCACGCTCCTCAGCAGGTCATCTCACTGATATAATAATGCTAGTTTTTTTTTCATTTCCTCATAATTCAAATACTCCCTCCGTCCAGCAATAAAGTTCTCGTTCACTATTCACAAGGTCAAACTTTATTCACTTTGTTAGCCTATTTTTGTGTCTTGTTTGATAAAATAATATAGTCATGTCACCACTAGTTTTGTAGATCTTTTCATGTAGTTTTTAAATATGTAATTTTAATTTTTTAATTCTATACCATTTTTCATATAAAATGATTTGAAAATAATTTCAGTCAAACATCGTAACGCGCAATGGGAACTTTATTTGTGGACGGAGGGAGTATATTTGTAGTTTACTGTGTAATATATCTACAATGACAGGCCCAGAGTACAGTATACCGTATGAATCTATTTTACCGCACTGACCTTTTATGTTTAAAATCCATTTTATGATCTTTCTTCTGCTACAAGATCTATGCTTTGGTACCAGTACTAATATCTTGCCTTTTGCATTTTAGACTTTTTCCTGTGTGTTAGTCTAGGACTCGGTGGGACCAATACGCCCAAAACAAGAATGCGAAAGAGTATTAGTAATGAGAGAACATTTTCAGCTACAGCCAATGAGACATTTCTCTATAAAAAGTTGGGTATGCATATTACTTCATATAAATTTTGTTTGTGTTGAGAGCTGTGACAAATGGCATGCTATGGGATTCAAGCTTGCAAAATGATTTTATTAAGGTTTTAAAGTACATTGGTATAATGGTATCTCTCATGTCTATTTATGTATTGTTTTGCAGTGGACCTTGCAGAGATGCTTTCTGCAGAGATGGAAGAAGAAGGCCTTTGTGGGAGGACACTGACACTGAAGCTGAAAACTGCTTCTTTTGAGGTATTTTTTTGTTACATGAGATGAGGTATTTTGATTAGGTCTTACTAGTCCAAAGTGGGGGAGTGAGTCTCGCTGAATATTTGCTCATCTTCAGCGTGTTATAATAGAGATTTAGTGGTGGAAGAATCAATTTTGACTGACAGCAAAGTAGCAGAAAGAAACTCTGCGCTCTTAATTTGTTTGTTTATCAATGGTGATTCTCAGATAAGGACTCGAGCAGTGACTTTGCCAAAGCACATCGCCTCAAAAGAAGAAATATTCAAGCATGCTTCAAAGCTTCTGAAAGCCGAGCTCCCTGTATCTTTACGTCTCATAGGTAGGTAAACTCTATGTTTTGATTTTCTTCTTCATATATTTGTCTAAGGGTTCTTGTTAAGTAACTGCACATTGAAAAATTACAAATCTACAAATTTTACATAAAATTTCTTTGGCAACTCATCCAAATCAGTTAAACATTTAGGATGAAACTTGAGAATTGGGTTACAAAGCATAGACCTTAGACGTGGGCTACTATCATATTGACCTCTAGGATAAACTTCTAATTCTTAATAAACTATTGCATTATTTCTTTGTATGCTCCCAAGGAGGCTTTTCATCAACCATTCCAATATTTATTTTCTACAAGGACTCCGTGTTTCTCAGTTTATGGAAGAGAATGCCAACCCTTCCGATCCCACACAAAGAACACTCTCCAACTTTGTTGTTCAAGGAGATGTTGCAAGAGAGGAGGAGGACGATCATGTGCCTTCGTGCTCGGATATTAGCGAAAATCTCTTCACGGGCGACATGTGTTCTGACTTTCCCACCAAAAGCAGCGAAATATCTCAAAGAGACAAAGTCGAAGTCAATGTAATTCATTTTAACCTGTTCTTTTAATCTAATGAAAAGCTAAAAATATTCTAGAGAAGCTGGATTAAGAGAAGCTAAAAAAATTCTCACTTTTTTTTATCCAGGTGTGTAAACCCAGTGATGCTAGCAACTCATCAAGGCCATCAACAGAGTTACAGCTGGAGGTTGCCGCTAACGAAACAGGGCATTGCTCAGATGATCATGGAGAATTACTAGTTTGGTTGGACGGCTATAAATGCTCGCTCTGTGGAATTGAAATGCCTCCAGGTTTCATCGAAGAGAGACGAGAGCATTCCGACTTTCATGTTGCGCAAAGGTTGCAAGACGAGGAATCGAATGACAACTACAGATTGTTGACCCCTAATAAGCAAAGGTAGTTTCCTATTTGTCTCTGTTGTTTTCAGTTTTCACCTTGTAGCAGCTGAGACACCTTTTGATCTGTGTACTTCATAGAAGGTTTTGTTCCATTCTTTTCACCATGAAGCAGAGATGTTTCTCTCACAGTTCAAAGTTTACCCTTTAGGTCAATACAGAATGGGGCTACAAGAAATCAAGGTGGTCAGAGAAAGAAGAAGAAACTGTCTCCTGCTTCCACCAAGTGCATTCCAATTGATTCATTCTTTGTCAAGACAAATCAAAATTTCTAGCACCAAAACTTTGAATAGCAATTAGAAATTGTTTGTGTACCTTCCTTTTCTTGTACAGTATATAATTTGCAATTATAGAAAGAATATAATGTACATTTAAAGTTTTTTGATCCCACATTCTTATATACATTCAATTTTTATGATAATTTTTAAAATTGTGGCCAGATATTTTGACACCAAGGTACAAGAAATCTTATTATGACACCACTAAACTAAGGTTGAATAAACATGTATGAAAACAGTATTTCTTATATTTTTATCTCGGAGCATTGACATTGTCTAATGTCATAACTTGGTATTATATGTTGAAGTTTTACATTATTTTTTGACATTATATATTAATACTTACTAGCATTATAAATCCAACTTGGTCTAAAAATAATGAAAGTTTATTTTGGTGTGTGTAACTTGTTTTAGTTCTACCCAATCAGTTGGTTTATAATATAAACTTATACCCAAATATTATCTCTTATGTTTTTATCTTTGAGTGTTAACATTGTGTAATGTTATAACTTAGTACTCCCTCCGTTTGGAAAAACACTTCCCATTTGAATTTGGGGCAAAAATAAAGAAGTGTTAAATTATAGTTGATTTCCAATTTTGCCCCTGATGTGATGGGTAAAAGTAAGATGTGATGGATAGATTATTAGAGAAAAACTATAATGTGATAGGTAGGGTATGAAAAAGTAAGGGTAAAAGTGGTTTTTTAATAGAAAAGGGAAGTGTTTTGTTGGAAGTGGAAAAAATGAAAGAGGAAGTGTTTTTGAGAACGGATGGAGTATTATATGTTGAAGTTTTACATTATTTTTTGACATTACATATTAACGCTTTTTAGCATTATACGGAGTAAATCTTGTTTGGTCAAAAAACATTGAAAGTTTATTTTGGTGTGTGTAACTTGTTTTAATTCTACACTAGTAGACTTGTAATTTGAAATTTAAAAATTTAAATTTTAAAATTGAAATAGTTCAAATAAAATCTAAATCCTTGCTTAAATGAATTCAATGGCACATCCCGTTACACTTCAATTTGACAATTATGTTGTCAAAAATTATGTCTGTCCAGAATTATGTTGTCAAAAATATGGGTGTCCCCCTAGTTAATTTTTTTTTTCTCATTTACAAATTACAACACATAATTTCAACAAGTTTTGTCAACAACTTTCAAGCCGCTATAATCCTTTTCCCCTTTCAGAGCCTCTTGTAGAACCTCACGGAAGCAAGTCGAATGGCTGCTGCATTTACATATCATCCCAAACCCCATCATCATCTTCTTCATCGTTCTGCAGATTCATTCAAGAAACCATCTTTCAGGCCCAGGCCTTCTCCACCCCCACCAGGAGCCACCGCCAGTTCAGCCACCATCCCGACCATGGCAGAGATCATGGAGAGTTGCAGAGCACGGAATCTGGATCTCCAGCTCCGATCAGTGGGGCCCTTTTTCAGAGTAACGGCGAGAAACATGAGAACGCAGAACGAGGTGGGGTGGGCCCAAGGGGTGACCAGGGTCTGGTTTGGGGGCAGAATCCTGCACCTGGACTCCATTAGAATGGGGAGAGAGACGGTTGGGATGGAGAAATCCATATTTGGGATTGGTGTTTTCGTTGGGGCAGTGGCAATCAGGCATGGGTATGATTCTGGGTGTACCAAAGCGGAGCTGCTCGCCATTAATGACTCTCATCTCTACCACTCCAAGGTATATATCACAAATGAAAATGGGCAAAGTATATATCAAATGGGGCGAGTGAAATGTAATAAATAAAGTATGTAGTGGTAGTTGTGATATTTGAAATGTAAAATAAAAAGGGTAATGTAAAATATGAACAAAAAAAGAGCTAATGAAAATGTGAGAAATGGAGGGGTATATATTTTGCTGAGTCTTAGAGTATTTACTTCATTCGTCTCAAAATGAATTTTACGCTTTAAATTTAAAGGGTTGAAAATTTAAAAAAAAAAGGATGAACGCTGTTAAATAGAGAGGGAAACGTTGTGATTCTTTTCCTAAGGAAATGAAATAAGTATAAAGTTTTGACGAGTTTGAAAATTTGACAGTTCATACCCTCCTAACCCCCTCGATGAAAAATGTGGGTAATTTTTTTGTTATTACTAGGGATTCTATTAAATTTGGATTTGTTTTAAATGAGTAGCTGGTGAGGTTCTACAAGAGAATTGGGTTCAAAGTGGTGCATGAAGTGAAGGGTGAGTCCCTGGGAGATATAGGGCACATGTTAGTTTGGGGAGGTATAGGCACCAGAATGGATGCCAACCTTGAAGATCTCCTCATCAAATGGGGCCCAAAATTCAAACCAATTGGACTCGAGACCGGGACGACACCGTAAATCTCCCACAATTGAACTGATTGATAACTAGAGCTGGCTAAGAGGTGGGTCAGATTTGATACTTTCATAGTTTCATGTGTATATCATTCCTGAAATGTACTCCGTATCGTTTCTCTCTTGTAAGTAAATTTCAACCAAACCATTTTCATTTATCACATATTGGATCAATGTAAGCAATCAGTTGGAGACATGGGATACATAACACACACAAATCACAAATGTAGCAGCAGCATCTACAGTACATTACAACCCCCCGGGAAGCCAAGGCTGGATCGAAACGTGACAGAACTCCAAAGAATTCATGTTCTCTCATCCAATCCAACAAGAGGAACTTCAAATGTTGTCCTGAAAAACAAGAGGGAAACAGAAATGACACAATTGCATGTGACATCATTGAAAACTGCACTGCAACAGAAATGCCAAAGGCCATGTTTGTTGTTTGACAGTTAAAACATAATACTGAAAGGGTCATGCTATGCTGTCAAACTTGGAGTGATCTCTGGGTTAAAGAAGCATTTTCCATACGAAAATGTTAGCTTAACAAACCAGCGAGTGGAAATGGTGTTTTGCTCCCCTCAAAAGAGAATTTCGAAATCTCAAAACCTCAGCAAAAGGTGGCGCAAACCTGTAATGGGGGATCTAAAACTTTTAGATCCGAAGATCTTCAATGTCTGCTAAAACATCTTTGTGTGCCAAAGACTGCCTGTTTGGCAAATTAACTACTAACTGACCACAGGCACCACTTATGTCTTGTCCCATTTGCTTGCGAACTGTTGTTCGAATTCCATAGGTATCCCTCAAAATTTTCTGAAATCTGGTCACTTTCTCATCATTACTTGTTTGAAACGCACTCAGGGAACCAATAGGATTAAAAGGTATCAAGTTCACAACCTACCAAAATGTTGCAAACACAAAAGTCACCAAGTAATCGTTCACTCTTTTATGTGTTCAGTATCCATCCACAAAAAAGAATGGTTGAATAACTGCATTAGAAACATACCGTTAGAAATGTCTCCAGCAATTTACCAAGCTGGTGGGCATGCTGCTCCTCATCATTTACTCCATCAAGCATTATGTACTCGATAAATATTTTTTGCTGGCTATAAATAAGAACTAAATTAGAAGTTGCAAGGGTGTTTAAATTTTGAATAGGATTCGCTGACTGAGTGATGAAAAGGCAAAGAGAAGATTAAGAAAACACCTTTCCTTTTGATACACAAGCAATGCATCCATCAATTTTTCCAAAGGAAAGGCTCTGGCAGCAGGCATTATCTGACAGCGGAGATCCTGAACTGGTGCATGCAGAGACACGGCAAGGTTTACATTTGGAAGATCGGCATGGAGCTTATTAATGGCATGGATGATACCAACCTAGTCAAGATCCAATTAAAAATCTCATTATTGCTATGTAGGCATCTCAAACATAATGCACTCAGTAGGTAACTAGTGCGTAAAAAAATCAAGGAATCGAGGGACATATTAGTTTTTTTTAATAATCCACTCATCATACCGTTGAGACAGTAATTTTCCTTGGAGATAAATGGAATGGAGACGACGTCATAATATGAATAGCCTCCAAGAGGGAAGAGTAATTGTTTAAGGGTTCTCCCATTCCCTATCCAACAATTGAGTGATAAACTATAAAAAAAATTGTGCAATTCAAAGCCGAAGCAGAAATAGCATGATGGTAAGTGACAGTACCATGAAAACAACATTGCGTATGGTAGAAAAAAGAGAAGCGTGGACCAACTGCTCAACAATTTCACCAGATGAAAGATTGTTTTTGAATCCCATGCTTCCTGTTGCACAAAATTTGCAGCCCATTTTGCATCCAACCTTTTAGCACAAAGTGGCTGTGAGTTTAGTTAACAAAATTGCAGCCTGATAGTTATAATACACGAGTGAGTTAAGTTCAGTAATTTTTCAACAAGAGGAACATTGCACCCAAGCACATTGATCTTACCAACAAAAGCAATGCACACATTCAATGAAAGCAGTAAATGCAGAGTAGAAATGGAATGTCAAACCTGAGAAGATATGCACAAAGTTGATCTTGGTCCACCGGAACGAGGCTTTCCATTATATATTCCCAGGCGCGAGTCGTATCTCATGATTACAGCCTCCACAAATGACCCATTCTGCAGAAGCAACAACAACAGGTGTTCTTAAACCAAACAGCCAAATATTCAAGCAATGTTCTCTAATTCCCGAGAAGAAGAACCTGCAGATTGATCAAATGAACAATGGGAATTCATGGAATAAAAAGATTAACCTGCAGCTTGATGAGGAGCTTGGTGGTAACACCGTCACTTGATTCAACGGCGGAGTCAAGGGTGGAGAGTAAAGGAACAAACTTGGAGCGAAGCAAATGGTACGCCCCTGAAGGCAAAGACGGAATTTCATCCCATTGACAATTAGGGTTCTGCATTACATGCCTGAAACAGCGTAATCACATAGATAAACAGAGCTATATACATGTATATGTATCGAAGAAGACGACTGTTATGAACAAGAAGACAGAGAGAGAGATGCGTACTTCCAGATGATAGGGATGAAGCGAGTACTGACACCAACTTGTTCGAATTCAGCTCTAAGTTGAGAAGAATCGAACACGGATTTCATAGCCATTTTTAGATTTTATTACTTCAGTGGCTTCCTTCGATCCTGCCAGAGGCTCTCTCTCTCTCTCTCTGTTTCTGTCTTCGCGAGAGAGACGACGATGGGAGGTTGGCGATGGAGAGCGTACGACGGCGTATTGACTGCTCTCCGCTTTTAGGGCTTGAAATTTACTATAGCATTAGAGTTAAGTGAACAGTTTACCCCTGTACTCTTTAGAAATTGCATGTTTTACTTCTGAACTTTAAAAAGTGCATCGATTACCCTTGAATTCTCTGAAAATTGCACGATTTACCCCTGCAGACTAAAAATGCACCAAATACCCTTGAACAAATTAAAACGTTGCATCGTTGGTCGTAAATTATTAGATAGAGAGGGCGTTGCTTCCACGCACAAGAATTGTGAATATCATTCATCTGACCCTTGTGAATTTTCCAAAATATCTTTATCCAAAATTGTGATCTTTATTTAAATTTTCAAGAGTAAACCTTACAATTTTCGAAGAGTTCAGGGGTATTTGGTGCAATTTTTATTGTTCAGAAGTAAACCGTGCAATTTCTGAAGAATTCAGGGATATTTGGTGTACTTTTTAATGTTCGAAAGTAAACCATGCAATTTTCAAAGAATTCGGGGGTAAAGGGTGCACTTAACTCTATAGCATTACAATAAGCCCGGTAAGAAACGATAAGTTTAATTAGCCCAATTATATTTTACTGCTCTTCCTGTTCCCGCAGGTGGGGCGGTGTTCCCCTATCTTTCCTGGCTTCCCATTTTCCTTTCTCGTGCGGCACACCGGACGGCCTTAGTAGACCATAATCTTCAACTCCACAAATCTATAGGCCGCATTTCAAATAATGTTTGGGACATTGTTTGGAAACCAGCTTTTGAATTGGCATTTTTAATACTCCGTAATTTTTTAATAACATAAGTTAGGTCTGAACATTCTGTCAAAAAAAAAAAAAGTTAGTTCTGAACATATTAATGTACTCAATGTTACCTTTAGATATTTTTTTCTAAAATAAAGTTGGACGCTAAACCTCTTATTAAACGGTTTCTGAAATTAGCATTTGACCATTTGAGTTATACAAAACATATACTCCCTCCGTTCTTAAAAACACTTCCTCTTTCATTTTTTTCACTTTCAACCTCTTATTAAACGGTTTCATTTTTTCCACTTTCTATTAAAAAACTCCTTTTACCCTTACTTTTTCATACTATACCTATCACATCATACTTTTTCTCTAATAATCTATTCATCACATCTTACTTTTATCCATCACATCAAGGGCAAAATTGGAAGTCAACTACAATTTAACACTTCCTTATTTTTACATTTAGTCAAAATAGGACCACTTTTTGAGAACGGAGGGAGTAATATTTAATAGTGCAATCTAATTTTAATAACTATCTGGAGAGTCTTAAATCAATGAAATCGATCAAGCACAATTAGTTGCAACACTGACAATTTGTTGCTTGTATTCGTTGCAACAAACAAAATAAAAGTTACAAGTTACTCCCTCCGTCCTATATCTTTAATTTCTTCCAGTTGCACAAAACGAAGAAAAATCTCAAGTTTTTTCAATCTATTTTATTTAAATATTGGTATAGAAATAAAAAATAAAACATACATATTTAAAAACTACATCAAAAGTTCAACAAAACAAGTGATGACAAGAATATTTTATTTTATCATATAGGCCATCAAAAAACACAAATAAATATAAATTCTCGTGAAGTTGGAATAGTGCTCTGGAAAGGAAGTTTTAGGACAGAGGGAGTACAATTTTAAGCCAATTTTTAAAAACTTTAACTATAAATTATTTAAAAAAATATTGAATTGTGATAAAAATTTAATATCAATAAATTAATGTTGCAATATAGTTTTGAAATATTAAATTTTTACAAAAACATATGTATTTATAAATAAAGGTATTGATAATCAATGTATTACATTGAATACCTTATAAGATCATGTTGGGTTTTTTGGGCCTCTAACTATGTGTTTAAAGGGCTCAAATGGGAGAATAAATTTGATCTCAATATTTTTTTAGTCCACTTCAAAGGGTTGGTAAATATCCATCTTATAAGGATACGACAAACTTTTTTATTTTCAACAATCCTGGTTTGGTTTTGGTGTTGGTCGGAGGTCTAATTTTTGTTGATCCTGCTGAAATTTTAGGAGTCAGAGGGATGAATATAGCTTCAATATCAATGGTGGAGATCAAATTTCAATGATTAAATCTTGTGTATTGTGTTGTATTGTGTATTTGTACTATCCATTTGATGCTCTTGTAGTTGGTTAGACCAAAAAATCTCGCGGTTTTTTACTAGTTTACATTGAAAGAGTTTTCTAATTGAGTTTTTAAAAAATAATTTTTTATAATTTTATTTCGTGTTTGGATCAACTTCTCTTTGATCTTGGCCACAACACTTATTTAATTTGTGTTTTTCTCTTCCCAATCGATTCAAAATTGACGTGAAGAGTACATGTTTTGAAGGGAAAAAAACGTTTGTTTAGTTTATACAAACAAATTAAAGATTCGACCTAGAACTAATTTGCTAAGAAGTACATGAGTTATTACTCGATTCATACGTATAAAAACTTAATAACACAAATTCATTTTCAAATAACATCCAAAGATAAAAATAATGATACAAATTATTGAATCGAATATTATGCATACATATATCTACACTTGAGAAAAACAAGTATTTATATTGGGTTGGAGGCATGGTTGACGCGAGGTGGTAGCCAGAACCGAATATCCCCGGAATCTTCGATTCATCGTCGGCGATTGACGGTGGTGGCGATGGAAAACGAGGCTTGATGGCCACTAGTGCGACTCAGGCCACTGCTAGCCATAGAAGCGGCGGCGGCGGCGGCAGTAGGGGTCATCGAACCCGCAGCAGCTCTGTTGCTGAAGGTCCTGATAACATTTCGGGGAGAGCGCTGATCGGAGAAACGATCACGGAAGTCATCGGAGATCTGGATCCTCCGGCGAGAAGAGCCGTCGGGGGAATCGGATCCGACGAGCAAGTGGTAGCTCCTGTTAGAGGCGTCGGAGAGGCAGCGGCCGAGGGCGTGGTGATGGGGCGGCCGTTGCTTCTTGAGGGCGTGGACGAGATATGGGATTAATCCTTCCATTTCTGAATTCTCAGAGCTTCTTGATTTAATGATGATGAAGAATTGTGTATAGATGGAAATATGGAATAGACCATAGCTGACATTGTATTTATAGGTGGGAGAAAATTGGGTGTTTGATCGGATCAATTCATAAACCATCAAACTCAAACCTGCCACCAGATTTTGAGTCACAGCTCCAAAAATTATCTCCTAGTCGCTATTATCATGTTTGATTAAAGTCATTTTTAATTTATTTTTTACAAAAAAAATGATATATAATTAAAAAATAAAAATTACATATTTCAAAAGTAATCAAAAGGTCTATAAAAATGGAAATAACATGATTCTACTTCCTCTGTCCCTGAAAGAACCCTTATTGACTTTTTAGAAAATGAAGGGAGGGATATTTTTGTGTTGACTTTCTAAATATACATTTGATGTGATAGGTAAAAATAAGATGTGATGGATAGATTATTAATAAAAAGATATGATGTGATATGCATGATACAAAAAAAAGTGATAAAAGTGTTTTTTTTAATAGATAAGGAAATATCTTTTGGAAACGACAAAAAAATGAAAGGGGGAGATCTTTTAGGAATGGAAGAATTATTATTTTATTAAATATGCAAAAAAAATAAGTCAACAAAGTGAATAAAGTTGGATCCTATGGATAGTAAATGAAAAAATAATTTTTGGACGGAGAGAATATTTAATTTGATTTCATTAATATTTAATTTGATACCATCTGATATAATTTGATTAGATTTAATTTAATTTTAATAAAATTAAGTATTTATGTCTCTGTACATTTCTCCAATTTTACCTTTTGAAGTCAAACTTGATAACTAAATAAATATTACATATCAATATAAAGATAATTTTACTGAATTTACTTCATAAAATATTTTCAAATATAATTTTATTTAACTAATATATCATATAATTTTTATGTAATTATAATTCAAACATAAATAATAATAAAAAATTAAAACTAGATTAATATTAAGAGGAAGTTAACAAATACTCCGTACACGGTAACTCTTAACTGGTGTTGAATAAATATTACCCTACTCCGTAATTAGCACTCCTTGTGACACGGTTCTCCGGGCGTAGGTATTTGACTTTGATTTAAGTCGTGAGTCGTGACAATAAATTCCTTGTATAATTTGGACTTTAAATACACATGTTTGATCAGATAGAATTGAAAGGATAAGTCGATCTATTCCCCAGGCCCGTTCAGATCTGATCAATGAGAGAAGGTAAATTGAGTTTTGATCGTAGATTGGTGGCAAAAAATGAAATCTTCACTTGGTACTTGTAGATAGAGGTCATATACTTAGTATAGTTGTCAAAAAACAAACACAAATCTTACCCCCTTTGCATTCCTTCTCTTGCCAAATACGCAACGCTCGGCAGCACCAGATCGAATTGAAAATGATGGAAAGGGGTGGATACCACTAAGTCTGACGTCTAACTTCAAAACCAAATACTACATGCCACGGGCATAAATTTTACTCCCACCGTCCCAAAAAGTCTTTCTTGTTTCAGTTTTTGCGCATCCCATAAAACACTTCTAACGACATCTAAAATGCCTAAAATTTATAAAATTTCTTCTTTATTATGGGTAGAAGTTATTTTAAAAGTTTTTTCGGCAATCAAGACGGGATAGAAGTGTTTTATGAGATGCGCAAAAAATGAAACAGAAAAGACTTTTTGGGACAGAGGGAGTAAGTTACAAAGGCATTTGGCTTGTCCTAAAAGTGTGTAATTTTAATACTCCATATTACTTTTTAACTTTGTCGTTACTTTATAATAAAATATGATATGATGTTTGTGTAGTATATCTAGTCACAATAAATAGAAAGTAATATCAAAATCAGTCATTTTTAGAGAATGTCTTTCTTTGTCTTTGAGAAGTTGTATAAGATGGAAGAGGTATATATAGTCCGTATTTAAGAAGTTAGAAACAAAAGGTAAGACCTTTTTCATCCGATGTTATATGTTGAACTCGCTCATTTTAGATAACATTTTGATGAAGGAAAATTATTTTGAAAGATTTTTTTATTGATCTCATTTTAAAGACACTAAAATTAAACGTGGAAACTATAAAATTGTTAGAGCTTCCCACAATAATTTGGACATTGTAGATCGTAGTTTGTTGTTAATCAGATCAATTTCATATTCCCTCCGTCTAAAAATTATTTTCTCATTGCGCGTTTCGATGTTTGACTGAAATTACTTTCAAATCATTATTTATATGACAAGTGGCATTGAATTAAAAAAATTACATACTAAAAAATTACATTAAAAATCTACAAAACTAGAAGTGACATGCATGATATTATTTTATCAAATGGACAACAAAAATATAGATGACAAATTGAATAAAATATGACTCTGTAAACAGTGAACAAAAAATTTTTTTGAACGGAGAGAGTAATTTCATCATTCCCATTAGCTTTTTCTAAATGATATTATTGCTTTTATTACACTTTCAGACAGTGGCGGACCCAGGAATTTTAATGAGTGGGTTCACATTTTGTGCACAAAATGTTGATATTTGTATAACAAAAAATTTAAAACCTTAAAAGTAAAAAAATATCAATAAATTAAATAGCATTCTGAGATTAATATTGTGAGTTGTATGCAATATTTTTGAAATATTGTATAAAAAATATAATACATTCATTGTTTTAACCAAAAAAGAAAAAAAAACTAAACAACTAAAGTACTAATTCTAGACATTTCTTCAAATACTAAGTATATTTTAGGAATCATTTTAAAACAATTAAACTTGTTCATACATTCCAAAAGAATTGAACATTTTATAATTAGGTTTCAAAATGAAAGTTTAATTAGTTTTCCAAATCTAAAAGAATTAAAACATAAAGTTCTACACAACTATAAAAATGTTTTCTGTTTTCAAGAAATAGCACCTAATCACATATAAATATACTTTTCTTAGATGCCTTTAGTCTAATTACATATTACTACTAATAAATAATTTTAGTTGGAATGGGTGCAAGTGACCCCACTTGCACTATCCTAGGTCGGCCGCTGCTTTCAGATTATGTAGTATGTACCCTACAAGATATGAAAAGAAAACAAAATAAGGAGTATAATTACATCATTATTACGTAATAATGTCATCACCGGTGATTAACCACCAGATGAAAAAGATGGTTTAGTGATAAAAGCCGCATGCAGCTAATTCTTTATTACAGCTGGACGGAATAATGGGGCATTAATAACTTTGACGATTTGGCAGCCGGAGATATCGCCGGAAAACCAGCAACCGATTCTTTCTTGAAGCTCTTTACAACGGACGAGTGCTCCAGATCGAGAGCGGCAGGTGGCGGTAGCTGGAAGTCGGAGACGGTTCTCCGGTGATGGGAAGAAGAGCCCTCCGCGGCGGCGGATTCATCACCAGCTCCGATGAGCGGACGGTAGCTCCGGTTGGAGGTGTCGGAGAGGCACCGGCCATAGCTGTGGCGGCGGCAATGATGCCCTTGCTTCTTCTTCTTCTTCATGGCGTGGAGCAGATATGGGATTAGTCCTTCCATTTCTTAGCTTGGATGTTAGCTCAGCTTGAATTGGATTAATTATTTAATTTGTTGATTCTTTTTTTGTGTGGTAATCAACCATACATTATTATTGGTGGCATAATAAAGAAGTATTTATAGCTAGCTAGTGGGGGTGTACTCATGGACACGCAACAAATAGTCTCTAAATTGACATTGAATCATCATGATATGGGCTTNCCCCCCCCCCCCACAGATCTCTTTCAATTGCACCACTAATTTTAGTTGACTTTAATTTAGATTCAATAAAATTTGATTCCAAAGTTTTAAAATATTGTGTAAATTTTGTAGAATATACATTAAAAATTAAATCATACTCCTTATTCTTTATAAAATACTACGTAAGATGTAATTAATATGATTATATTATGAGAACGAATAAAATATGAGTCAAATATAAGAAAAATAAAAATAAAATTTTGCGTACTCTTTTTTTCTTGTAATAGAACTTAAAATGTTAATCATGACAACATATAATATATACAAAAATATAATATGCAATGCCTATAATCACAATACAATCTTATTTTATGATGACTAATAAATTTTACTCATATTTTAATGTTTTCTTCCATATTACGGAGTATTGTACAAAATAATTAACGAAAATGTGTTAAGAAAAAATTGGCTCGTAAATAATTAAATGAGTGAAGACGAAATTGGTATATGGATAATGGTTATTGAGATGGGCACGCATGCGCGGTTTGACCTCTTGGCATTGATAGCGAATGACAATTAAAAAACAAAATTAAGGAGCATTTATGAGAAGTCAATCGGTGGTGACCACTTCAGATGAGCTTTGAGAAATTAGATTTTATTACTTTCCTCACCTCAAAAATGTTTTTTTTATTTGATTTTTCACGATCTCCAATGTTGTATTTTGATCATTAATTTTTATATTTATACATAGATATATTTTATAAAAATTTGATATTTTAAAACTATGTTTCATTAGAATCGGAATATATTGATATTAAATTTATATCATAATACAATGTATTTTTTCCACAAATCGAGATCAAATGTTACAAATTTTGATCAAGAAAAGTCAAAGGTGAAGAACATTTTGGACAAGAGAAGTAAGTTTTAAGGTGAGAGCGAGTTTCAAACTTGTAACCTTTTAGAGTCTATTCTCTTCAGCTTAATTAGGGTTTGTTCTGTTCATCTAATCTGATTCATTCTAATTTGATTGGATTAAATTTTCATATAGTCTGATCTGATTTTGTTATATTTAAAGTTGTTTTTTATTTGATCGGAATCTAATAAGACTATGTAATAAGTAATAAAAATAAGTTGAAAAAATAACTCTTATTTTTATTACTTATAACTTATTCTTATTCGAATCAGACTAGATCAGAAACATCTTTAAATATAACTACAATCAGATCAAACCATACCAGATCACACTGGATCATATCAAATCAAAGCGTATCTCAACTTTATAAGAATCAATCGTATCAGGTGAAGGTAAAGAAAAAACGAAGTTAGTCAAGAAATTCTTGTTTTCATGCAACATATTTTAACAATTCAACAAAAAAAACTCAAATTTATGATGGTAAGCCTAATAATCTTTTTATACTCCCCAACACATCCTTACTCTATATATAGCTCACTCGATTAATTTTTATGACACAGATTTATACATATTTTAATGCGTCAAGTTTAGAAGTTTTTAAGTGAAGAATTTAACGATTTTGAATTCTAAGAATCCTTTTTTGAATATGACTTATGCATTATTATCTTTCAATCTTAGGAGTGATTTTTACATGAACACATTGCATATGAAACATTGAAATTTATAAAATATTGCTAGTAAAAAAACGGAATTAAAATAACCAACGTCTTCTATAAAGCAAGATGTGGTGAATGGTTGGGCGGGAGTATTTGACCGGCGATTTTCAACCCGACAGCACAGCTATTCATTTGCGGCAATATGACTCATGTTTGTGAAAAAGTCCACCCCATCCATGATTTTTATTTATTTAAAAAAGAATCCAGTATCCATGACCTCAAAATGATGTGAGTTAATTTGGTTTATTGAGGAAAATATTAAATATACATTCTTATACTCCGTATGTCCTTAAAATTAGTTTGTATGTTGAGTTACTGAATACCGAATTATTACTCGATATTATTATTTTAAATGTTTTGGAGTTTAAATTCCGATATTGAGTCCTAGCAACTCATATTGTGGCCTACCTAATCTCATCTTGAAATATTTAGTGCAAATTTCATTATTAAAAAAAATTCATATCTAGCTAAAAAATTCACCATTCTATCTTATTTACAATTCACCAATTCTAATTTCTATTTTAAAAAATTCATATCTAGCTAGCTAAATTTTATTAGGCTAATTACCTACTATATATTTGACTCTCCATTCTTCAATTTTTTGTTTCGTTTTTTAAATGGTCAATCCATTGACCTCATTTCGCAGGGCAATGAATCACCCTTGGCTGAAGATAAGATCATTTCACACATTTTGATATAGTACTTTTTAATTGTGTACGATATATATATATATATATATATAGTGATGACCATTGATGAAAATTGAAAATAAAGATAGTGAACTTCAGATGAAAGTAAGATCAAATGTTCGGTTTTTTGGTATGTATTACCAATTATCGAACCGAAATATATTCAGTATTAACCATACCAAACTGATTTATTATGGTTCGGTATTCGGTACAAAAATCATTTTACCGATATTTCGATGCGGTTCGGTACGGTTTTTACCGAATGAACACCCATAATCCACATGTATAATTTGGACGGACTTTCTCACATTTTTATGGACTTACGGGTGTATCTTGCTTTTCTATTTCATACAAAGTCTAACCTTTTTATGGTGTTTATATATTAAGACACATCTACTAAGTGCAGACCTTAAGACCACCTAAGAATTTGTCTATGAGATTATATATGTGTATGATCGGGCTTGGATATCAACCTTTTGAAATTGTATCTGGGAAGTTCCCTTCAAAGATCGGTCATAACTTACATGACCGAACATGGCACTCCAAGCATGGGTCGGTCATAACTTACATGACCGAACATGACACTCCAAGCATGGATGGTGTGTAAAGTGGCAAACCACACAGTATCCCTAAAATTTAGATCTCCATATTTTTAAATTCATCATTAATTTTGAAGTATAAGTATTCTAACATAATAAAATAGGGCTCAAAATGTAAATTTTGGATTGTGTCAGTTTTATTTTTTCATTTTTTGATGCTCTTATTTAAAAATTGCAAGGACTTTTATTTATTTTGTATTTGTATATTTTTATTGATTATTTGATAAAATAAAATATTCCTTTCACCTTTTATTTTGAAGATTTTTTGACATAGTTTTTAAATATATAAATTATATTTTATATTTCTATATCAATCTTTATATAAAATAAATTGAAAAATTTAAACATTTTGGGACAGATGGAGTACTTAATCATATGTCATGTTCTCTTCATCTGTTCTGATTGGTTCTGATTTGATTGAAATAAATTTTGACCAGGTATGATTGTTGTTATATTTAAAGTTATTTATGAAAAAACTGGAAGGAACTGGAAAAAAAATGGAAGAAACTGCAAGAAATTGGAAAAACTGAAAAAAATTAAAAGAAATTAAAAAACTTGAATAAATTAAAAAATATAAAAAAGTTTTAATTTTTTTAATGTGTGGTTTTATATTATTCTCATTCTGATTTTTGTTGTTATAAATTATTATTATTATTATAATTGTTGCTGTTGTTGTTGTGTTGTTCTTGTTGGTGGTGGTAGTGGTAGTGTTTTCACGTTATCTTAATGATTGTCTTTAAGATAAAAAAATATTACGAGTATTATTTTTTATGTATAAAAAGATAGTTTTAAAAAATTAGAATATAAAATTAGCATAAATATCAAAATTTTAAATACTTAAGAGTCATTATGAATATGTTGTATTTATTATAAAATAATATATTTGTAATTATATTTTATATATTATAAGATATTTTTTTAAATATCTGACATGTCACATATTAGAGACAATAAAAAGTAAATCAAACAAATGAAACTATAAGTTTTTTTGTTAGTTGTATTTTAATTATTGGTGATGTTATTTGTTAGTTGAATTTCTATTTTACACTTTTTGGGTCATTTTTTCTTTTTCAAAATGTAGTTTTCTCTTGGTTTTCATAATGTAGTACTCCCCACCACATTCCATATTTTACATTTTAGATTAAAATATTGATGTTTACATTATATATATTTAGATTAAAAAATATTCTATATAACTATTTATCCATAATTTTTTAAATAGTTTTCTAATTTTTCATGTAGATTAATATACAAAAAACGATATTATTCATAGTAAAAAGTTGAAGAAAAAATAATAATGAAAGTGCATCATAAAAATAGTGAGATGAAAAAAATGAAATAATTTATAAACTATAGTTATGAACATAAAACTTGTAATTAAAAAAAGTTGTAATAATAATAATAATATATTTTTTATAGTGATTTGTTAGAAAGTAGAAAGAATTTAAAGAAAATAAATATAGTTGGAAGAAATTAGAAGAAATCGGAAAAACCTAAAAAAAACTGAAAAAAACAGGAAGAAATTGAAAAAACTAGAAAAAACTAAAAGAACTGTAAAAAATAAAAGAAATTGGAAAGAAATGAAAATTAAGAGTTCAAGCTAACAAAGAAAGAAAGGCACAATATGGGAAAACATGACACCATTTTCAACTTTTCAATCTTTTTCACTTTTTTGGGACCCTGACTCAGTAAAAAGTTGCACACAAAACGAACCCCAATTCGGAAGTAGTTCAGGAAAAATGCACATTGATACAGCTTGAAGAATCTTGCTCTTCCCGGGTCTTAATCGGTCTCTTTTTAATTGGAGCATTTGATGAAATGGGAAGTTTTGGAAGATCAAAAGGCTTAACCTTGCTAGGGTTTCTACTGCCGATCGTACTTCAGTCGGTGTCGGGTCGGTTTGTGGTGGAGAAGAACAGTTTGAGGGTGATTTCACCGGACAACATCAAAGGCACTTTCGATTGCGCGATTGC